TTGGTTTTCCACTTCTTTAGTTGGGAAATTTTGTGAATTTTGAAGCCAAGCACTTCAACCGCAGTCTGTACAACGTTGAGAGGTGTGTTTGAGGGTAATCCCCTAATGACAACTTTAAGTGGTCGTCTATCTGCTTTGAGTGTATGGGACTTGAATTCAATATTATTGTCTGTGAGGAATCTAACAACTGTTCTATAATCATTTTCATTAGTGGTAGTGAGTTTAAGAAAGTCTATGTTTTGTTTGGAAAGAACAGTTGGTGCGTGTCGGCGTAACTGATTGAGGAGAAAGAACCAATCAGCACGCGGTTTTATGAAAATTGGAGGTGGTGCTTGAATTTTTGGTGCTTGAGTGACAGCCGGCAGCTGAGTCGAGTGTTCAGTGTTATCAGAGTTTTGTATGTTTGTGAAAGAATTAGATGTTGTAATGTTTTCATTATTATTAGTGTTGGGTAATGGTTTTTTGGCTATTAGATGTTTAGGAGGAACTGCAAATCCTTCATTGTCTGTGGGTCTAGTGCGTTTTTTAGATTCAATTTTGGAATTTTCTTTTGGAGGATTTTGATTGGCTGAGGATGAGGGTGGATTTGAATTTTGAGTTTTAGTATCAGAATTTTGAATTTTGGGATCAGAATCGGGGGTTTTAGAAGATTTTTTACATTCTTTGAAGAATTCTTCTTCAGTGGCAGGGAGTGTAAATAAATTTATGCCTAGTTTAGTGCAGAGGGTATGCAAGGAAAATAAAACTTTCTCACCCTCATCCTGCAACTGCTTGATCATCAGCTCCTTGTTCGGTGTCTCTGTTCTTTGAAGGCGCTGAATATCGAAAAGGAGGTCAGTATGCCGATTTTTTAGAGAGTAGATCTGAATAGCGCTCTTTGATAGCTCTAGCGCAGAAGGAGAGGCAGGTGGAGTAGTTGCTGTGACTTCCATTTCAGTTTGGATCTGTAGAGGCGGAGGAGAAGTAGATTGATTGCCCGCTGGCGGCGCCGTATTCTGGATACCATTCGCATTGACATTACGGAGCTCGGACGTCCATCGCTGTTAGCAGCCATCGCTGTCCACAGAAAAAATCTGTGCCCCAAATACTTCACCTGGACCTAAAATATATCCCTACAGAGTGTGCGTTGTTCGTGCATTAAAGTCGGCAGATGCTCCTCAGCACCTCCATTTTTGTGAGTTGCTGTTCACTGACAATGGATCTTTTCTTTATTTCTGATGAAGCCTGGTTTCAACTGAGTGGTTATGTCAATTCACAGAATCACAGGTTCTGGCCAGCGGAGATCCCGCCTACCTTTAACCAAACACCATTGCATGATCAGAAGGTTGGGGTTGTATATGCAGTCTCTGCACGTCGCATTATTGGTCCCATCTTCTTTCATCAGACGTTGAATTCGGAGTGTTGCATTTCGACTATTTTTAATCCATTTGTGGCAAAATTAACTGAAGAGGAAAAGACCTACAGTTACTTCCATCAGGATGGGAGCAACTGCCCATACAGCCGGCCGCACTTTGGATCACATGTACACAATTTTTCACGCCTGACAGAGTTGCTATCACAGGCCAGTCTGGTCTCGGCCCTAGCTGACCATCCAGGTCACCTGATCTGTCAGTGTGCGATTGCTCGAGTCCTCAAGTCTAAGGCGCATCGCAACAACCCTCATAGTCTTCAAGAACTGCAGCAGAACGTTTCGGATGAGATTGCCGCAATTCCTGCAGTCCAGCTTCGGTCTGCCTTCAGTAACTTGCTGACCAGAATTCAAAAGTGCCAAGAAATGAATGGCGGTCAATTTCAACATTTGCTACAGTTAGGTTAGTACTGTATTTCCTTTCCTTTGCTGCGTTTCTTTGTAACCTGGAACGTTGTTCTCCGGGCTAATTTTTTTGCCTCACCCTGTATATTTGCTCGTGCATGGGCTCTGAATGTTGAAGCAATAATTGTAAAGAGCTTCAAGAAAATGAGGATATCTAATGCTCTTGATGACCTTGAAAACCATACCAGATGGGAAGAGAGCTTGAATGGTGACGAAAATGACGGAAGTGGTAACGACCAGCAAATTGTAACAGCTGGCAACAGACAGCAGTATTAAATTATTTGAGGTCATGGAATAGCAGTGGGCAACAATAAAAACGGCCAAGGGTCGGGATTCAGGTAACTAAAAATGTTTTATTAGATATTGTAATGTTAATATTATTCCCTATTCTTATTGGAAGGTATGTTTCTTTTAAATAAATACTCTGATGATTACCAGTAGTTTATCCGTGAATACTTTTCATTTGTTATGTTCTTACAGTAACAGCATTCTTCAGAAATTATATTTTTGGGATGATTTTCCTTTATTTTGGAGAGATTAATTAAAAGGGGGTAATATGTGAGAAAATACGGTAATTTCTGACAAAGTGCTAAGATTTGTTTCAATCATAAAATCTGACCTTTCATTTTTAGGCCTTTTTCGAATTTTATGAGATTTTTTTTTTTTTTTTTTGTATTGATATTCTTTAGATCAGCGGTTCTCAACCTTTTGACAAACGCATACCATCTAAAGAAAAAGTGAAAACCTTTAGCACCACCACTCTTGATCAAAGCTCAGATCGTATAAATTAACGGAAGTCCCCCCCCCCGGAGTTTACAGCTTGATCATGGGTCTATGTGATCTACCAAACAATGCGAGGGTATTAAATACTAGTGTTAGTTTCTTACAAGACTATAATGTATTCTTGAGTAATTGCCAATGTTTCAATTTGCACAAAATGAAGGATTATTTGAGGCTATGAAGGAGCTCACAGCAATTTTCGAAAGATATGGAATAGGTAAGAATAAGAGTAGGTAATTAGGCTTCAGTAGGTAGATTACCATTTATTACTCTCATCAGATTCATCCACCAAAGGAAATGACATCAATAAAATTTTGCATGGAAGAATTGAACCTGGCTGATTCTACAGTCATAAACAGGTACAATTATTTGAGAGAAATGTGCGTCTATGAAATTACAAGTCATGAAAATAAAAAATACGGGTGATCAAGGTTTAATTGTAGAGGCTGAAAGACTTGTTATCTAAAAAAAAATCACGTTGAGCAAAAAACCCGATATTGTTAAATCCAATGAAAGAAAATATCAAAAAATAGAACGACCACTTATTTCAGCTTCTGAGCTGACTTTCAAATTCCGGTGTTGAGCTTTTCAAAGTAAACTACAAATTCAGGTTCGTAGTAATCTTCCGGAGTTCATACGCAAAATATTTAACAGGTCAAAATGGACTTCTTCGAAATGAAGGAATAAGAAGTTTAGGGATTTAAGGATACAGCAAGGCATCATTTGTAGTCATACTTATCAGAGTTCATTTCGCAGCAGAATTTTATGCATATTTATATATATATTGTCTACATATTCCTTTGTTGAGAAATGAAAACTCAGCCGAAGGACATTTTGATGTAGACAATGGCTTTATGAGAAGCTGCTAGAAAGAATGCAAAGGTTTAAAGAATGTAAAGAATTTTTATAAGCTGTCCAGTTAAGCAATAAGATATCCCTAAAAATTTTACCGAAATTTGTCAGAAATATTGAGCCAAGATCTTTATATGCAGGCTTTTGAAATGTAAATAAATAGTATCTCAGCCAGTGTAGCATCTACGCTGTTACTGGTCAATGATATTCTTCATTCTGACATATCACACATATAATTAGATGAACTTTCAATAACGGTTCCATGCAAGCAAATTAAAAGAGATTTAATAAATTTTATCAATAAATGGTATTCTGGTTTTCATCCAGCATTTAGTCTGAATACATGACCACAGAATTTTACAATAATAGTTTTGTTCTTTCTCTGTTCAATAAAAACAGCAAAATAGGAATTTTTGTGTAAGACAAACGTAGTTTCCTCTAATAAAAACTTTGACCTCTCACTGAATTTAATGAATGAGTAATGAATTTTATGCAATCTGAACATTTTTGAATTTGAATGATATATTTGTTCTGAAACAAAGTTTGAAAAAAAAAATTGATTTCGCGAAGTTACTGATTACAGAGTCAACATGTCTCAAATTTTCAAACCTGGATTTGAGAAAGAAAGAAATTCGAAAATCCGGCTATATCCGAACACAGTCATCTCTGTAATATAGGGATTCATTTTTACTTAAAAGACAATGCAATTAAAGTACTTCATTGACAAATGAAGAAAACTTAATTTCTAGCTAAATTAATTAAATAGAATCGAATGTCACGAAAAAACTCCAAACCAATTGCATTCATTTCATCTTATATTGTTTTTAATAAAAGTGACAGAGCACCTAAACAATTTTTAAAGAGTGAATTAAATTAAAAAATTAAAAATAATATTACTTAATTTTGACATACAAATAAAGGAAAAGAAATAATTTTCAAATTCCTTGGCTTTGTGGAAGCATTTTCCCTTACAAATAGATTCACACAATAGGATTTTTCGTAAAATTCAGCTAGGAAGTAAATGTTTATAGTACTGGCCTGAGATTTAAACAAGACTTATAAAAGTAATGATACGCAATTACAATCAGAGTTGATACAATGAACGACATTTCCCTTTATATTATTTCCTTTGAAAGATGTTTGATGACAAGCTTATAAAAGTATATCATGCATAAAATAAATAGTACTATTCTCAAAATAAATAGTAGGGTAATAGCTTTATAATAAATTCTTAAAACTGGTTTCATTTGTTTCTATAGCTTCTCCTAAAAATAGAAATCCATGAGCTGCTGAATTTTTGGCAGAAAAATAGGGTTGTTCCTTTGTTTGAAAAATATCTGTAATGCAATAATCAGGGAAAAAAAAAATAAATAAATAAATAAATAAAATAAAATAAATAAATAAATAGACTGCAATTGCCTTGATTGTCGTTAAATTTATATGCCAAAATATAAATTTTGAAATGGCAGTGATATTCGGAAAAAGATACATATTGTTTAAAAATTAATGCTGAATATTTATCATTTAAAAATATTGACTTCATTTCATTACTTACGTTTGCACCAGCATCTAAAAGCAGAGTTGCAATTGGAGTTGCATATTCCGCAACATTGAATAGAGCATTCAAGAGAGGACTGTCTTGATGAGATTCTTCTACAACCGCACTACTACCTTTTGACAAGAGATATTGAACAACTTCTGAAGAATTCTTTCTACAAGCGTATTCTAAAGGGGCACATCTAAACTTACAACGCATGTGAAGAACATATGCCGGCGAGTTCTCAATTAACATCTTTATAATTTCTGAAAAATAATGCATACACCAGCTTTAGGTATACAATAAATTCGAAAACAAGAAAATAAATATCAAAATTAGTTACAAATGGGAATCGGATTTATTTTTATTAATCAGCAACACAGAAACCAGAAATATTTTCTCAGTTTCAGCAATTAAAATTATTTGTTGAGAGAATTCTGGAATAAAAGTTACGCCTTAGGTGTCTAATTAGAAACTACTTGTGTAAAGATTTTATGTAAAAACACCAGACAGATTTATCTCGGTATACACTGACACCTAGACCGTACAATCCGATTATTTCCAAGATTTCCGTTATTAAAGCTTTCTGCTTCTGCTCCGACTTAGACAGTTGAATCAATTACATAAGATGGGGCCCACTAGTCGCTGAACACTGGGAGTTCAGTCCGAGGCTCAAATTCCACAAACGGGCTGGCTGCATGTGCTTTTCGTGGTTTTCTCCATGTGTAAGTGTGTACGAGCCAGTTTCCCTTTAGCATCCCTTACCTTAGGCAGCTCGGTCACTCAGAATTTAGATACAATCTCGGGGCCATTTGATGCTGATAATGGACAGGCTAGGACAATTCAGACTGATAGAAACTTCACATACCCATAATATCTGGCTAAAAAAGCAGCCGATTTGCATTGAAAATTCTTAACTTGAAATGCTTCAATTAAATGCTCGAAAAAGAGGGACTTTATTTCACGTTAAAGAAAAATGAGGGAAGGAAGTATGAAATACATACTAAAAAATTCTGACACCCATCACCTACCCTGTTGACATCTCATGATACCATTTCAGTGTCCTATCCGAAGAGACAAATCTCGAAATCAAAATGCCTACCCGTTTATGCTGATTGAACTTACATACATGAAAAACTTCTGGATAAGGAATTCACAGTTTTAAAGTTTGAGCACCTAATGCAAAGCTGAGGTACCGAAAATGAAACAGTTTAACTGTATCTGGTCACCCTACTAAAATGTGATTGGGAGAAAGCCATATACCCTCTGCCTATGCATACGAAGGTGGAAAGGTGCAATGTTTTCTTTACCAGTGTTATTATCATGCCGAGGTGGCATGTAATTACACGCCTAGTTGCTGTAAATGCATTGATGACCACGAGCTCTAAACCTAAGGAAACGGCAACTTGAGGATTTGGTATGAATTTTCCAAACAAAAACCCGCTATGACGAACATCCCTAAAAATGAGGACCGATTCATTTTGAATAAATCGTATGCCCAGTTGGTAAAATCTTATATTTTTGCTGAGAAAATCTTTAGCAGGTTGCGAAAAACCATCCAGATCTTACTTTTTTACTAAATAATTCCAAGCCAAAATTAATGAGTTGTAACCTAAAATGCCCAGATCCTTATATCCAAAATCGGAAGATGCAAGAATTTTTCAGCACACACAACACAGACATTGCATACATCGCATAAACTCATACGATGCCTGCTCGCTCACTGAAAATTTCTATTTATCACAGCTACAGCTGCGACAGAATACAATACAAAGTTGGTGGACCCCTCTTTTATATTAAGAGAATTCTCAACTATTGTTTCTCTAATTCAGGTAACAGTAAGGCGTTGAGCAGGTCAGAGCCCTCCATCCTCAACTGGGGAATCAGAGCAATTTGTGCTTTATACAACCTTTCTGGTTTGAATTTTCTAGACCATCATCTTCTTAATCTACTGAGCAATCTACTGACCTGGATGTAAAACATATCAGCTGGAAATGCGAAAAATTAAACAATAACAGAGAAATTTGGCATAGCTTTCTCATAACAGCCCATATTGCCTTCGCTTCCAGGATGAATTCGCTTTGTGATTCACCAATATCAGACCAAATCCTGACATTTTAGACCTTTTCCTCACGTATTCAAATGTCCCAGTAGTTACAGAAAAATAAGCGACCTCTGATGAGTTCATGTCTGGATGCTGGTCCATATGAGAATACACATCGCGACTATAATTTAACAGAATAGACAAAATTTGAAGAAAACATCAATGAACATTTTCCACCTCTGGTTCTCTTAAAACATAGAGGACTTCGATTCGCCATTAAATTTTTAGAAACTGCAATCAGAACACTTTTGATGTCTCCTTTATTGACTTTAAAAATAAAAAAAATACTCCCCTTTAACATAAAAATTATGGTTTTTGAACGTAATCCACTAAAAAACTATAGCTTTTCATGTGGCCTTAGCAGTTAAATCACAAATTAACAGGGTGAGAAAAATTAAAAGTTTAGTTGACAAAAAATGCAGAATAATAAAACTGAAAATTTAAATGCAGAATACGGGGCCTTTTAAAGATACGTTTGCAATCAAAAAGCAAACAGAACAAGAAGCGTGCTCATAAAAATGACACAGGACTAACGAAGAAAATTGACAAAAAGTTTCAGAATATCTTTCCTTTTCTTAAGTGTCCTTTCATGTCTTTTGTCCCTACCTTTAAAGAATTTTCGAATTCACGAATTAACAGTGAGCGAAATCTTTATGAAAATCCTGCTTTGACCTTTTTGAAGATTACGCTTTTTTCACAGAACATCAAAGCACACCTTTAAGGCCAAGATCAAGATAAAAAAAAACTCTCTTTTCTCAATACAAATTGGTAGATTTTTGTTGATAACAGCTCTTTTAAAGTGTGGATGAACCTCCAATCCTGAAAATTTCATTCCGATTGTCCGTATTGTTTACAAGGCGAATTTACGAAGCTCCATAGCAAGGCACGGTGTTGGATTTCATATTCATCCAAAATTTTTGTACAAATTTTGTGCCTATGTAAATAATTTTAGTGAAATTATATATAAAATTGTAGTATTTGTTTTTAACATTGGGTAAATAGCTGTATTGCTAATATGGCAAGATATCGGCATGCTGGCAACGGTTTTTGCCATCTGTCTATAACTGTAATGGGTACAATTCTCAGCTGAGTCGTAATGAATGAGTCGTAGTGTTCAATAAAATTTGATAAAAATATTTTAGCAATATTTCAGCTTTTTAAGTTTTATTCAGAATGCTTTTAAATGAAGGAAATTATTTCAAGAATTAGCACAGATAAACACTGATTTATCCCCAGAAAGTTAATAGTATGTCCTTCAAGCTACCATGAAGTGACAACGGTGGTCCAAGACTACTGAAATTGCAAACATCACTTCCATTTAAGAGATTGGGAGGGAAAAAATTAAACAATTTTAGGAAAATTTGCAATTAATAAACAGCTATTAGTGACCTACAGCATCAAATTTTATTTTATTTCAAATTTTTTTTTGTCCAAAAAAGCGTTAACTCGAATGGGATATTAGTCTCGAAAAAGGATTTTGTGTCGTCGTAAAGTGCGAATCACTTTTCAAACTGTTGCCACTTAATAGAATCGTCCTGTATTACTTTTAAAGAAATTAAATAATACAGAATATGCATGCACGTATATATGTTACTCCCACTGTCTAAAAACGACGGTGCCTAGGGCCATAAAAATTTGAATAACGTAGTCTTCCACCCGAACACATGCAAATGAATTTTATATTTCATATTTTCTTAAATTTTAATGAATTTTTGATTAACAAACTCAGTAATATGAAAGTGAGCAGGGGCAACACTGTCCGGAATAAAACATTCTTCTCTTCAGCGTGAAATTGTCTATCGGGAATTCTAAAATTATGTTGTTTTTAAATATTCTGTGATTTTGCCGTTGAATTGAATTGTATGTGGCGTAAGTAGAAAAAATACGATATTTAATAAATAAAGTAAACACACAAAATGTTAATATTTAGAGCTCAAAAAAAAAGTTTTGTAAGTTATCTTACTGAGAAAACTGAAGATTGATATGATAAACTGAAAATATACTGATAGAATATAAAAAGTGTGTGGCAACACTTAATGCTACGTCGGGAATCTAAACATATGCTGCTATATTGCTTTTAAATTTCTTGTAATTTTGCTGTTGAATTGTATATGGCGTAACTGAGAAGAAAATGACGCTTAATGATAAAGCTAACATGACAAAAAGAAGTAAAATCTGAACCATTTCAGATTTTTCTTTTTATGCTTTTCTTTTTTCTTAATTTAAGTTATAAAACATTATAAAATTATGCGTGCAAGTAGGCTAACGTTACCTGGTAGCGTAGCATTAACTTCTAAGAAAAGATCCTTAGCAGATAGTTGAACATGATCATGTGTCACCGAAGGGAAGATATAATCCGTATGGGTCCCACGCCTTAAAATGTGTTTAATATCTTCAGGATCACGATCCTCTATAGCTTGAATCACTGCATGAACGAGATTTTTTATAGCCTGCAAAGAAATATGGTTTGAAAAAAATGCTTCCATTTACATTAAGAGAGTTTTTGTCTTGGAATATTTCTGTCTGGCTTTGTCTGGAATAATTACAAAGTCATGGAAATGTTTCAATAGCATTTTTATTCAAACAGGAATTAGAACATAAACGCACTTTATTGCGCTAACACTATCAGCCACATCTCGTGTTGGTGTAACTAACAGAACAATCAAATTAAAATTAAAAGCGGAACACTAGTCAAAGACCACACAATTCAATTTTGCTCTAAGCTGGCTCAATAATTTTAATCGCAGCATCAAAATCAAGGTGTCAGAAATGATATAACGCGAAAGGCCGAATAATTACAACTATCAGGGACTAAAATTAGCGTATAGGCGCAGCTAAGAAACACGCTTTTTCTTAAAACTCCTAAACCCTAAGTATCTCGTCTGGTGAGGATTTCCTCAAGGAAGGGAGAAGTTAAAGCACAGGCTGCGGAAAAGAGAAATTAAAAGTACACATCCAAATCATAATAACTGGTTACTTTTAAATAATAATTTTCAAAACCTTATGAACGAAATGAAACTAGAAAATTAATTCCAGTTAATTTGGGGAAAACTTGCCACGTTTCTCCTGCGGGGGAACAAGAATGGGGCAGACAAATGACTCCTCTGCATAAACAGCTAAGCTTTGTCTTGCGAAGCAGCTTAACATCCCTTTCTTATTTTTTCTTGTTGTTTATGAATTACAGCAAAGCCTGCATGTGAATACCAGTTCATAGCATTGTGGTATTCAAAGTTTGTTATAGACCTGCTGAATTTATAGTCTGTAATAATTATGTGGCTGCACAGACTTCGAAAATAACTTGTCCGATTATATTACTACCATAGATGGCTAATTAAAAAAAAACTATAATTTTCATATTGAAATGTCTCTCTTATTTGTCACACTTGAATTTACTTATATTAAATGCTTCGCAGGAAGCAAAACGAAGAAAAAGAAATTAGTATCAGGTGCTGCATTACTGTATCGTTACGCAGTAAGAATTCAAGCGGCAGAAATCAGGAAATGCACAATAACACTGAATAGCAATTAAATATAATATGCATTTAATAACTGATATCTGCACGTCGTAACTGAAGAAATCGTGTGAGAGTTATCATTCGTAGTAACAACTGCAGTTGCAACATCGAGAATTATAAATATAGTAGACTCCCTTTTAACCGCCTTCCGTTTAACCGAATCTTTACATTAACCGGTCGTAATCAATTTAAGTATGAAAATAATAATAAAAAAAGAAAAAAATGCAAAAAACTGAAAATTTCTTAATTATGTATTTTAAATACCAAATAAAGAATACATAAAATTAAAAAAAGAAAACAAAAGAAAAAAGAGAAAGAAAAAACACTTTGTGCATTAAAACCTTTGAGGGGCGGTATATAAAATAATTTAAATTATGGTAAAATTTTGCACGACCTATAACTTATGGACCCTAAGGACACAAAATTGAGACTTAAAAAAATTTAGAGCGAAATCCTGAATTTTGAGAGCTGGTATATATTTTCTACCATTGCCCCTCTAAGGCATTTTTTTCAGGTAGCTGCTAATTGTTAATTTTTGTTTTAAAATTAATTTTGCGTACTTTTGATGTGCATCTGTAGAGATGAGTGCTTGAATATAGTTATGTAAGTCTGAAGACAAAAACTTTTAAAATTTTGGTAAGAATTTAGAATTTTAAAAATAAAATTTATGTTTTTAGGCACTTTGATCATGCAACCCAGCTGAACATACTTATGCAAAATATGGGTAAAAAGCTTTTGAACTTGATTTAAATTCAGTATTATTATTTTATAAAGAATTTAGCAAATATAAGACTGCATGCGTAAAACGTATCAAGCTTTAATTGCATATTACAAATACATTGCTTATTACATATTATATCGTATCATAATAACCGAAAAATAAAAAAAAATTGAAACACTACGACTCAGCTGAGAAAGTGTTGCATTTTGAAGTTATACTTTATGCTCTAGGTAATATGTAAAAAAACTTTATACCATGATGCCAAAAATCAACCTCCCCCCTCCATGCACACTCTAGATTATCAAGGACCGTAAAGGTCCCTTCTTTATTTTTTGTAAATATAGGTTGTAATATATCTTTTTGTTCAGGAAGAAACGCCTTTAAAGAATTTTGTTATTTGATACACTTCAAAGCTCTTATTCTGATTTTCAACCCCTTTGGCTTCCTAGGGGCTCTTTTCAACTTTTGGATAAATTTTAGTTTGCACTAAAACGAGCCTTAGAAATATTTTCCCTTCTTTCATCAATGGTGAAAATTGATTTCGGAAACAATCTATTTGTATCCTAACCCACAGGGAAAATTTCTTTTGCATTCCCTACTCTTTCATCTTAAATTAACAAATTATTAAAAAGAATTTCCCTAAAGAATAAAAGCATGCTTTCAAATCAGCAGTTTTTGTGATTACACTACGAGATGGACCTTGTGATTACACTATGAGATGCATTTCCATTTTAAGTGAGCTTTGTGTGATTTTATCACACCAGACAAAGGGAAGAAGGTGTGACTCCGAAATGACATATTAGTTGTCAATCACCTCTCTTCATTTCCGTTGCATTCTAGGATTTTGGAAAACAGGAAGCAACGGGTGTCTTTTGGGGGCTAACATGCCACATTAACCACACAATTGTATAACGTTTTGACCCCGACGGTAATTTTGAAAATCGATGAGTCTTTCTCTTGGGAAAGGATATGTGCTGAAATAAAAATTTTAGCGAAACAGAGACGAATGAAACTCGAATGGAGTAAACAAAGAATAAAAAGAAACTAATATACTTGTATTCAGTCCTAGCCCAGGGTCAGTAAACTCTCCATCCTTTCGTGATCATAATATTGAATCCTAAACTATAAATTAATCATAAAAAATATTGCATCATAAACTGTTATAATATAAAGAATCTATCGTTAATTATCACTTTCGACTGAAATGAAATAAATATATAAGATTCAGCATGTGTACGTCATGTATTTGCAGATTTTGAATCTTTTCTTCCCCTCCGATATCTTCAAACACGATACCTTAGAAGGTATATTAATTTCATAACTGCAAAATATTGAACACTCATAGAGGGGTGCTGCCATTTAGAATCGAAAGAAAACACTAGAATCTTACAATTATAGCTTTTGGTGTCGAAACATTAGCATTTTTAGGAGGTTAAAAAATTGACAAACAACCGGTATATTTTATATACCGGTGCCCTTCAAAGCATTAAACGGTGTCGCACAATTCTCTTAATTCAAAAATAAAAGGATCCCGGAATAGAGGTAGAGAAGATGTCGACCAGAATGTAGCTCGGTAATAGAGACGACACGTGTTGACCTTGAAAGGAAAAGGGCGCACACATTGCAAAGCGAAAAATGGTGGTCGGTCAGAGGATCACCATAAAGTTGATTGCAGTGGGAATGAAAGATAAATGATGAAGTCTCTCAAACACAAGTTCCCCATAGTATTCGAATGTTTTGGGACTTGAATATTAGTTTGTTTCAGAAAATTTGTTTAAAATGCAATTTATTTAAAATGGAATTTATGGTTTAAAATGGAATTTATGGTTAAAATTTGTTTAAATGTGGGTTTAAAATGGCAAGTTGTGAAAGAAAACCCTGCTAAAAATGCCCCATAGAAACCATTAAAACTTTTTATGGGTTTTTACTGAATTTTACTGGTTTCTGTTGGTCTCTGTGGGTTTTTCTTACTGGTTTCAAAATGACTCATAGAAACCAGTAAAACTTTCTACTGGTACCTATAGAATTTTGATGGTCTCTACTGACTTTTACTGGTTTCTATTGATCTCTGTGGGTTTTTCTACTGGTATCAATTGACACCCATTACAACCAACATTCCCCCCCCCAAATGGCAGAACTTTGTCTGGTTTGTATAGGTTTATATTGACTTTTACTGGTTTTACTTTTTAAGTACATCATTAAGCATGAAAACGACTTTTATTTCTTGCCACTTGCATTATTGTACACAGATGAATATTGGACTCATCTTAATATTAAGTTTCACATACCTAGTTTAGAAGTTGTTTATTACAATTTAATAGGGATCTTCTGTTAGATTAAGAATTCTAGTCTTGGCAGAAAATGAGATTCTACCTCATTGCAAGATTTTTTAATAAAGATGTTACATAGTTTTGAATACGGGAATCAGCAAAAACACTGTGGAGATTCATTCACCTGTGAAACTTGGGAATAATTTTCCCAAATCTTTGTTTCATTGCTATTTACTTTAAGATATTTTTCTTCTAATCACAAATCTGACAAATATCAACAGAAATGTATTTTTGTTAAGAAACATTTGCTGGTAAAATACAGTGACAGTAACAATTTAGAAACAGTAACAATTTAGTTTACGTAAGAGTAAGTTTATGCAGAATTATGAGTAACTAATTCATGCGAACAACATTATCAGAATTCTTAACTATAAAATAAAATGAATAAATGAGAAAGACAAGAACATATTTACAAAGTTTGATAATCTTTTCATCAATTCTTTTTTCTCTGTGAGCTTTTTCAAATCTTACTTTCCAGTTTGCTTTTTTCTTCCATTCGCTTTCTCCTTTAATTACTTTATTCGATTCATTACATTTCATTATAACTGTTTACAATCGCTGCATGTGAAAATCATCATATTGTTGAACACCAGTTATGACAGACAGAAACATCTTTTAATAGCTGAATGAAAAACGGGGTAAAATTAAAGTGACATTCTCTTAATATTCAATAGTTTTAATATGCAGATTAAAGCAAATTGACTGACAATAAAATTACTTTCTTCCACGTCTTCGTGCAAATAACTTAAATTGATGCAGTTTAACTTGGATTGGTTCAAGAGTTGCATCAGTTCATTTAATGAAGAAATATATAAGTTCTATGGCATGTTTTCGCTTACTAATTTCAGTTAAGAATTTTAATTAAGTGTTCCTCTACCTGTTGTTTCAGATAATTGTAAACATTTCTTTTTTCTTATCTCCTAAATCAGTTTTACCCTACTTCTCTTTTAATTTTTTCTCTGTCTTGAAGCGAATTTTAAGGAAGTACTATAGACGAATTCCCTGGTAAAAATGCCCATAGGAAACCAGTAAACTTTTTGGGTACCCTAAGCTTTTATGGGTTTCTTGACTTTTACGGTTTCTGTTGGCTCTGTGGGTTTTCTTATGGTTTCAAAATGACCATAGAAACCATTAAAATTCTCCTGGTACATAGATTTTTGATGGTCTCTACTGACTTCCTCTATATCCTGGTTTTCTGATCTTGTGGTTTTTCTTACTGGTCACTTGACACCCCATACAACCAGATTCAATGGAGAACTTTGTACTGGTTTGTATAGGTTTATATGACTTTTATTGGTTTTTTACTGGTATCAATATAATAATAAATCTTCGTTGGTTTATATGGGTTTATGCTATTTTTTGTCTGACATTATAGACTTCTTGTAACAATAAAATTAACAGCAGAATGAACATGATCTCTTTAAGACCACCAGAGTAACCTGTAAACAGGTGGTCGTTTTAAGAGGTTTTTACTAAATATGCTTATTTATTGATTAAATTTTTTTTGGTAACAATAACAATCATAATACACAACAATAAAATAACAATCCTAATAACAAAGTAATAATCATATACCCCACACACAACGAGGTCTCTCTAACGCGACAGCGCAAATAACAATTCATCTTTGCAAGGGTCTTAGAGAGTATGCTCAATACCAATTTCCAGAGACTAAGTTTATCTTTTAGAGGTCGTCTTAGGGAGATTGCATCTACGAAATGAATCTCTCTAAGGCGACCAGCCACACTTACAGAATTTTCTTTGTGAATGGTTACCTTACAGAGGGAATATTCAATACCAAAGTATATTTATGTTTTCAGAAATACTGGTCTCTTTCAGAGGCGGTCGTCTTAGGGAGTTGGTTCTCTGAATACACAACATAAGCATTTACATTTCTGATATTACAAATAAACACCGGTATCAACCAACATCTCTTTAACGCGAACAAGTTCATTCACAATCGCAAAACTTGGATACGGTTCGGAGAACAGCCTTAACGCCAAAACGGAGAGAAACAGCTTATTACGGTAGATCATGTTATGATTGTCATCCGATGACGTACTTCTTCTAGGACAGCGTGGATACGTATTCGGAAAATATTATTATTTTTGCTGTTTCCTTATCAAGCAAATAGTAAACAGTATTAAATTAGAAATAGCACATAATTTAATAAAATATAAAATATTGATAATATATGTATAAATAAGTGTCTTGCACCTGTAAATAATGATTTAATGCTTTTTTTTTTCTGTTTTCATTTATTTTATGCTTTATTTTCTGTTTTCATTTGCTTTGTTATGCTTCCCTGTACTCATCGATGTTCAAACATGGTTTATTCTATAGCTTTTTAGTATTTATTTTATGTGCATTGATTGAAAGTAATCTATAAACATTTTCTTGTACTTTCTTTCTTGCAATGTGTGCTTTCATATCGTAGTGCAATAAAATAAGTCAATGTGTGCTTTCATATCATATTCATAGTTATGTACAGTAATCTGAATTTAGAGGAAGTTTAAATTTGCCTATAGAGTGTCAGTTTTACTTCACAGACCGAAATATCTGGCTTAAACAGACCTAAGTTCTCAGACTAAACATATTTGCAGTCTATTTGTTCTGGGACATTTGTAGCCTCAGTCTGATATTTAGTTTATAGCACATTTAATATTTTTAGTATTTATTGTATGAATTAGAAATAATAACTTTTTAGAAATATGTATGCGATAAATTTGTGTGCTGTTAGACATGGTAATGCTCTCAAGTCTTAATTGTTCAAAATTCGACAAAATGCAACGGTATTGTATTTCATTTTTTAACTGCAGTATAAATATAAAAATTTCATTAAACTTGCTAGAAGGATACATATTTTGTAGTATTTAAACACATATTTAGTTACATGCATTATGTAATGGAAAGAGTAATTTGCATTAAACAATTCCTCATATTTATGGTATTTTATATATATAATGCATTATGAACTGAGAAGTCTCAATAAATTTTAATAAATTAATATTTCCTGATGTCATAAAATAATGCTGTATGCAGTTAATAAAAGTGGATTTAAATGCTATAAGAATAAACTAAAAATAGTTTGTTTCATTTTTGATTTTAATTGTCATAAATATAAATCATCTCCAACTTACAGAATGTGATAGTGAAAATTTTGCAGTATTTCCTTCATGATTTATTTAATTTAATTAAGTAAACTGAAGTCCTTGGTAATTGTTTATGATTACAGCAAGATATTTCAGAATTATTATAAATGAATTGTACAAATAGATAATGCAAACTTCATGCATTACAATGACAGTGGATCTTGTTTACGAAACAGAGATTGATTCTACTGCAGACCTTGTCAGCCAATTAGCATCACTGCAGCAGAGACTTGCTGAATAGCTTTTAAAGTATATGCCAATCACTTCTTTGTCATTGTGATGCATGTATTGCAGTTAGTAACAGTTCATCTGAACAATTCTGATAAATATCAAGCATTATTTCTTGTAAATATCTATGATTAAAATGGCATTTTATTCTCTATGTTCTTTGCACTTAATATGTTTCTGTATTCATGTTTCACATTCCACAATACATTGTATTGCGAAAATTATTACTTAAGCCATGCTATATTATACCTTAGAGGGTTGATTATACTATAGAGGCAAATAAAAATTAAATTTTATGTATATTAGGAATAGTATTTATATGATAGTTGAATATAGAGTTCATATCATAAGTCATATACATAACTACCTATCAAAATGTTTTGCAATGAAATTTATTATCCCCTTTTTACCAAATAAAAACAAAATGAGGCATTTAACACCTGTAAGCTATGTAAATAATGAGGCATAGAAAATCTGTTACTCATGTAAGAGCAATACAGTTATTCAACTAATATGTTTAACAATAATATTGATTCTAGATTAGCTAATTGCCCCCTTCTTGAAAAAAACATATAATGCATAGGACATTTTACAGAATTACAGCTAAACTCAAATTACATACTTTTTAATTTACTTATTTAGTAATAGTTTGACTTATTTTATTGTGATTTTCATTTTTATTTTAATTTGATTTGGCTTGGTCTGCATGATTTGTTTATGGCAAAGTATGTGAGAGCTATTTGCATAAGCAGAAGCATGCTTTCATAGAGGACTTTCTAAAAGACACTCACTCGTATCCTCATTACACATGCAGCCAATCTGTTTACCTAGAATTGCAGTCAGGTCAAACTACCAGCTTTGAGCAACTTTACTGCTCAAGCACTGGTGGGCACATTTTTGTTATGATGGAATAAATTTTTGCATTGTATTTTTACATTTTTCTTTGAAACAGTTATGGACTTATTTTCTGTTTTTAAGCTGTGATATTGAGACTATTGTGGTGTCATTTTGCAAATGACTTGTATTCATACATGTGCCCCCAATAATACTTGTGTAATTAAAAACTTGCTCAATGCTTATTATGCAAAGTATTCAGTTTAAAAGTGTACCCTTCATAAAAATCATAATTGTACACATTCATAAGACATACCTTGTATATATCATACATTCAGGTTTCAGCCTTAGAAGGCCAGCGAGTGATGTTGTTCCATTTGGAAAGATTGATTGGAATGAGCCTGTGCGTGAATACTTCATAACAAGATAGATACTTCATTTACTGAAGAATACTACTGAATTATATAGATATTGAAACTATCAAAGTGGTAGTACAAGAATTGGATCAGAGTATGGAATCATTAATCAAGGGATACTATGTATGGCTCGACAAATCTACTCCATAGATTGATCTTTGCATAAATTCACCTTTGAAAACTGCCAAAAATATTTAACAAAAAAAAAAAAAAAAAAGGGGGGGGAGAACTCTTAATGTTATGCAATGAAAGGAATGGGTTTTTATTTCTATAGCAGGCTACACTTCCTGACAATAGATAAATTAAGTACACAAAGTAATGAAATCTTGCATCTTAAAAGGAAACCAGATACTTTTTCTGGTAGTAATGAAGAAGAAAAAGGTTTTCTAAAATTGCCAGAAGAAAACTTCCAAAAAATGCTACTAAATATGTAACTAGTAAAAAAAGGTTGTCATCTTGATTCATCTAAACCCCAAGATAGATAGCAGTCAGCCTTCTACAAGTAACCCAGATAATCCTAATAGTCAAACAGAATTTTGTCACCTCAACCTAGTTCAGTTTCATGTATCAAATCTCAGAGAAGGCGTGAATGTCATATTCTTTCTGGCATGTAGGCATTTGAATTCTGCTGAAGCAAAAGTTCCCTAGAGCAGCCAATGATAGAAAAAGGTAAATACAAGACCATTGGCTAATGATTTGCACTTTATTTTGCATACACAATCTTATGCTTTCAAATACATTTTCATTTCAGAGCACGTTTGCCAAAATGGGACGTTCATTTATTACTTACTTAATTATCATTTATTATTTAAAAAAAACTGCATTTATTACATAATTTCAAAATTTTAGTGATCAGTTTATTAATTAAACTTACTTATTTTTTACAAAAGTAATTATTGAGATATCTCAGGATATTATAAATCTCAGTATAGTATCATATTATTTAGTAAATAAATTATTATTAACTTACTTTGCAGCAATTGCTCAAGTAG